CTTTTTAGCCCCTGGAGACTGTGAGCCCCTCCAGATGACCTGATTCCTGGTTCCTAGTCTTTGGGCATGAATCATCCTCACTCTCTAGATATTTCCCCTCCTTCCCTTTCAACTCTACATTCTTCTTCAGCTCCCACCTGTAGTCATAGCTATGAAAGTAAACACTGGCCACTTCCCCCTTTCCCTGGGCCAGTGCCAGCCCCAAACCTCATCCCCAGCTGAGCTCAATGAGGAGGTGGCCAGGGTGTCATGAGAGTGGGGCAGCAGCCAGGGAGCAGGCTCAGAACTGCCGGTGCTGGCAGCCCTGGGCCGAGGCTCTGCAGTCTGGCATTGCTCAGAGGTGAGTGTGACTGAGTTCAGCCTCGCCCTGATGGCCTGGACACGTTCCCTCTCCTGTCCCCAGGCCTCTACACCCGACCCCATCTCCAGCTTTGTGACAAAGAGCAGGTCACTCTGCCTCCCTGACTATGGCTGTCTGGTTGGCAAAGTGAGGGGTGGGCTTACCCTAGCTGAGTGAGTTTCATTTCAGCTCTTACAAGTAAGAATCTCTGTCTCTGACTACTCTCTTTTCCTCCTGGTGGTTGCATAGGATTGGGGTCCTGGGGGATATGGAAGGGGCTGAATGGTCTGGAATCCACTTACTCTGTAAGCCTTCCATTGTCATTAGGGCGTCTTAGATGGGAAGCTATGAGAAGTGATGAGAAGTTTGAACAGACAAGGTGTTTGAATGAGGGCTCTGAGCAGGGGCTTTAAGAGCATGGGCTCTGGAGTTGGTCTTGGAGCTCAAATCTTGACTTCCTCATACCCTAGCTAAGTAACCTTGGGCAAGTGACTTAATTCTTCTAAGCCTCTATTCCTTCATTTGTAAATAGGGAAAATAACATTATCTACCCTGTTGGCCTCTTGAGAGGATTTAATGAAATAATAACTAAAAATAATCAACATTTATTGTTTATCAGAGGTCAGGCAATGTTCTAAGTGTTCTATGTGTATTTTCTCATTTGATTTTTACAACTCTCTGGAGGGTACTATTATAATATTAAACTCATTTTCCAGCTGGAGAAACTGAGGCATAGTGAGGTGAAATGGTCAGTGCCAGTCTCTGGTGAGCATGGCTGGTGGCCGAGGCCCCAGAGAATTGGTCTGTGACCTCCTGTGTCCCCAGCAGGCAGAGCCACTAGTGAATTCCTCTGAAACCAGAAGAGTCAGAGGGAGGGCGGGAGTGCGGGAGTGCGGAGGAAGTCCCCATGAGTCAGCAGCCCTCTGCATTGGGCTGGAACCCTGGATCCTCGTGGCCCATCTAAGGCCGGCCTTGCTCTCCCTGGTTCACCCTTTAGTCTGGAGAGGGACCTGTTTGTCCGGCTCAGCTTTGAAGAAGGAGGGAGGGGTGGCTGGCTGGCCACGTACAGGGCAGGCACTGAATAGCCTGGCTTCTCAGGGGAGTTTCAGGATTCCAGTCTGTTAGAGCTGGAAATGAGTCAGGGACCGTCTGGTCCACTTAGCTCATTTCACAGAGGAGCACCCTGAGGAGGCTATAGAACTGGGTACTGGTGACACTGGTGACACTGGTGACACTGTGGAGCTTCTGACCACAGGGCCTTTCTTGCCAGTGCCCCCTGCTGTGTTCAGCCTGTTCACTTATATGCCACCATCTGGATGGTGGACATCAAATGGTCCCGGGTGCTGAGATGAGGGCAATAATGACAGATAAGCCCATCCCTCTTCCTGCAAACAGGCCACTGTTCTCTTGGTGTAGTTAAAAGGGGATCTAAAAATATATATATATTTGCCCTAGACATTTTGGCTCAGTGGATAGAGCACTGGCCTATGGACTGAAAAGTCCCAAGTTTGATTCCGGTCAAGGGCACATGCCCAGATTGCGGGCTCCATCCCTAGTAGGGGGCATGCAGGAGGGAGCTGATCAATGATTCTCTCTGATCACTGATGTTTCTATCTCTCCCTCTCCCTTCCTCTCTGAAATCAATAAAATATTTTTTAATCTAATTAATTTATTTTATATATTTTTATTGATTTCAGAGAGGAAGGGAGAGGGAGAGAGATAGAAACATTAATGATGAGAGAGAATAATTTACCAGCTGCCTCCTGCATGCCCCCTACTGGGGATCGAGCCCATAACCTGGGCATGTTCCCTTAACTGGAATCGAACCTGGGACCCTTCAGTCCACAGGCCGGCACTTTATCCACTGAGCCAAACCGGCTAGGGCTAAAAGGGGATTTTTGAAGGGGATGGATAGAGAGTTATAGGGTGAAGGAGCCTCTTGTCTCACAAAAGGGGACCCCAGTTTTTCTTTCTTCCTCTTTTAAAAGTCTATTAAGAAGAGCCACATATAACAACTTAAGAGTATTTTCTCACTCTTACATAAACAAAACATTTTTGTTATTGTTGCTGTTAATCCTTACACGAGGAAATTTTTCCATTGATTTTCCATTGAGAGAGAGAGAAACATCGATGTGAGAGAGACACATCTATTGGTTGCCTACAACTGAGGTACAAGCCCTTGACTGGAATAGAACTCATGAACCTTCAATCCGTAGGCCGGCGCTCCATCCATGGAGCCAAACTGGCTAGGGCTAAACAAAACACTGTCAAAAACAGTGACTATCTTGGTTTCTTAAACTCAGCACACCCAGTTTTTAGTCCTCCCTTGTTCCTTTCATTCCACTCTCCTCAGGCCACTCTACTCTCCGGTGCAGGACCTGCACACGACCCCACTTCTGATGCCCTGGTTTGCTGTGTCACACCCTTGCTGTCCGGGACATCTTTCTTATTTCTGACCTGACACATTCTTGCTGTGCTGGTCCATTTACTCTGGGAAGATGGAGAACAGCTTTCCTCAAAATAACCCATTTAGAGACCTGGCCTGTAATTCAATACTGCCTCCCCACCCTCCCTGCCACCTTCCTCTCTCTGGATTATCCCAATTGTCATAAGAGAGAAGAGATAAGACAGTCCTTTATCTGATCCCTGAACTGTGCAGGTGCCCTAAAAAGCCGGCTCTTCCTTCCAGCAGAGGCTCTGAGGCTGTCTGCTGACCTGAATCTGGGGGTGCTTCCTCTCTGTGGGATCCTAAAGGTCTGCCCCTTGGAGGATGCTAGGGGGAGGTGGTGGCCCTGTTAAGGGGCCCAGTCTCTTATCAGGGCTTGTTCTTAATCCAGGTCTTTCAGGGACCTCCTTCTTAGCTCTTCGCAAGCCCCAATCTCTGCCACTTAAGAGGGGAATACCAGTCCTGGGGGACATTTACTTGGTGTAAGAGGCATAAAGAACACAGCATATGCCCTGGCCAGGTAGCTCAGTTGGTTGGAGCATCATCCCCATATGGCAGGGTTGCAGGGTCGATCCCCGTCAGGGCACATGCAGGAATCAACCAGAGAGAGAGAGAGAGACAGACAGACAGACAGACATAATATAGAAGACAGACATCTAGGACCCGGAAGGCCTCGGAGATTCTGGTGGCACCATTAACCTGCCAGTTCTGTGATCACGGGGAACAGTTCACTGTTCTCAGCCTTGGTTCCCTCATCTGAACTGAGCATTTGGGGCCTTGTCCTCAGCTTTCCCCTGGCTGTGGGGTTCTTCTTCCTGCAGAGAAGGTAGTGACTGGACCTTGTGGCATGAATCCTTAGGGCTCCCTCTTCCCTGCTAGCCACTGCCCTGGGGGAGACAGGCAAGAATCACAGGGACACTAGAGACCCTGGGGTTCAAAACAAGTGTCTCCCCCTCCCCGGGGGCTTTGAGGCCCTGCAAGCACTATGGCAAGGCCACAAAGTGAGCAGTGGCAGCCATAGGCTGCTACACACCCATCTGACACGCCTAGGCTGTTATTTGAAAGAACCAGAAAGTTCTGTCTCAGGCCTGCCCTTTTGCGCCGCCTCCCAGCTCTGGTGGCCAGCCCTGTGCACCCATTCCCCCAGGCTTCTGGCGTCCCCTGACTCAGCCTGCCACTGTCCATAGCCCTCTGCACTCCCACGCTGGGGCTGGTGGCTCCAGCACCAGGGCTAGCTTGTTGTCCTCGCCTCCTCCCCCACCATCGGCCTTGGCTCCTCCCCAGCTCTGCCTTTCAGGCCTGACTCTCCTGCCAGCTGCCATGGGGGCTGGGTTGACCCTTCAATGGGTCCCAGCTGGCCCTGTGATTCACCAGGCTTTGCTGGGCCATCGGGCTTCTTCCCTGGTCACTAGAAAGCTTTTTAAAAAATTTTATTTTCTTTATTATTTTTAAAATCGATTCCAGAGAGAGGAAATGGGGGGGGGGGGCGGGGAAAGGTGGCGGGGGGAGAGAAAATGAAAGGGAAAGAGAAAGAGAGAAACATGAATTTGAGAAACATTTATCTGTTGTCTCCCACACACTCCCTGCCTGGGGATCAAACCCGCTACCTGGGTATATGCTCCAACTGGGAGTCGAACCTCCACGTTTTGGTATACAGGACATGCTTCAACCAACTGAGCCACACTGTCCGGGGCTGGAAGGCATTCTTAAGTGATCACAGGGGAGTTCCCAGGCCCCTGCTCCTCATCGCTTACCCCACTGATTCCCAGTGATCCCTCTGGACTCTTGTTCCCCCCACCCACCCACCCATGGCAGGACGCTGCACAGGGAGGGCTGTGGGCAGAAAGCTGGTGTGAAGGTGAGGGGCAGGGGCTGAGCTGGTGGGCCAAGGGCACTATGGCGATGGGGAGGACGGCCTGTGGGCAGAGGATGGCACCCCATCGCTGAGAGAAAATATGAGAGTCTCCTTCCACAGAGACCACCTGGACTAGGGTGGGGTAAGCTGAGAAAAAATTACATACATTGGACAGCTGTAAATCTTTGTACAGAAACTGATTATTCTGAGGATGATGTGTGGAATTTTTATAAATGTGTAATTGTGCAATTTTGACTGTATTGATTAATTGTGATATGATATGTAAATTATATTTTTACATTTTGTTGTAAACGTTTTGGTAATAACAAAACGTTTGCTTTTCTTGTCTTCCATTTCAGGTCCCAGCCGCTGGGGTCTCCCCTCAGCCCTTGAGTGGCCATGTCCAACCCCAGCGCACCCCCTCCGTATGAGGACCGCAACCCCCTGTACCCTCCACCCCAGGGGGGCTATGGACAGCCTTCTGTCCTGCCCGGCGGGTACCCTGCCTACCCTGCCTACCCACAGCCTGGCTATGGTCACCCTGCTGGCTACCCACAGCCTATGCCCCCCGTGCACCCGATGCCCATGCACTACGGTGAGTGCTTGAGGGTGACTGGCGGTGGGTGGGAGGAGCACTGGCAGCACCGAGCCACCTCATTTCCTTCCTTTTCAACTTCCTGTTAACCCGGTTTTTCATCTCTCCATTTCCCATCTTTGTTTTCTCCTTACTCGTACCTAGCTCCCCTGGGCCACCTGTTAGCCCCGTTATTCAGCGGGGAGTCTGAGTCCATAAGACACACCGGAAGTTACACACCACAGAGAAAGTGGTTGGGTGAAGTAATTAATTACTAGGTGGCCGTTCCTAACTAGGGGGCACCACCCCACCCAGTTCCTCTCTCCCTTTGGAACCTGAGGTACTTTTTTTTTTTTTAAATCCTTGTCCTTTAAGGTAACATGATTTTTGCAAACATCCAGAGGTCATTTGGATGTTTGGTAATCACCCTGGCAAGTAAATGCTGTTTGGTCTTTGAGATGAGATACGATGAGAAGGCAGTGACTTTCCTGAGCAGCCCACATGCGGACTTTGAAAGTAGTCCCCAGGCATTCCAGGAATGCCGTGTGGCCTGGAGCACAGCCCAGGCTCATCTGGCCACTCGTCTGCTCGGTGCAAATATCAGTGGTCAGTCACGTTTCCAGTCCTGTCTTGTCCTGTGAACATATATCCCTGACATGTCTGTTTTCTCTGAGTCCTACTTGTTGACCCAAGGTAGATCATGGTCTACACCAGTGATGGTGAACCTATGACACGCCTGTCAGAGGTGACATGCGAACTCATTTTTTTGGTTGATTTTTCTTTGTTAAATGGCATTTAAATATATAAAATAAATATCAAAAATATAAATCTTTGTTTTACTATGGTTGCAAATATCAAAAAATTTCTATATGTGACAGGGCACCAGAGTTAAGTTAGGGTTTTTCAAAATGCTGGCACGCCGAGCTCAAAAGGTTCGCCATCACTGGTCTACACACTCTTTTCCACCCTGCACACACGTGTGCTGTGTTTTCTATTGTTGTTTTTAATCCTTATCTGAGGATATTATTTCCATTGATTTTTAAAGGGAGTGAGAGGGAGGGGGAGAGACAGAGAGAGAGAGAAACGTGGATAGGAGAGAGACACATCGACTGGTTACCTCCCGCACACGCCCTGACTGCGACGGGGATCAAGCCTGCAACCCAACCAAGGTACATGCCTTTGACTGGAATCAGACTTGAGACTTCAGTCTGTGGGCTGACGTTCTAACCAGTGGGATAGGGCTGTGCAGTGTTTTTACCTTCCTTTTCCTCCTTCTATCAAGTCCCCTGCTCTGACCCCGTCCTCGCAGCTCCTCTGGCTGACACTCTAGTCCACATGCCTGCAACCACAGGTGTTTGTACACCAGAGCACGCAGGTGTGGGCTGGGCACCCTCGCCCAGGAGACCTCAGTGCATGCTGATGGGTTACTCTGTGGGCACCTAGAGGACCTGGCTTGGGCAAGGAGTTCGTTATAACACTTGGTTTTTGACTGGAGATACCCGAGACTCTGAGATAATGTCACAGAGGCTTTGGGATTGAGGCCACATGTTCCTAGTTGGTCATATATGATCTGTCCCTAGGCCCAGGCTATGATGCCGAGGAGAGAGCAGTGAGTGACAGCTTCGGGGCCGGAGAGTGGGATGACATGAAAGTCCGACACACCTTCATTCGAAAGGTGAGATGTGGGCTGGGAGGCAGGTGTACCTGGGCCCCTTGGGCTGTGGGAATGGGGTGGTTGGCGGGGAGGCACTGTTAGCTGTGGACTCATTCCCATGGAAATAGCTGCTGCCTTCCAGGTTCTCTCTAGCCCTGTACTCTTCTCATCCCTGTTCCCTAACCTTTCGTTCCTCTTTCCGTGACCTTGTTTTGGGGTCAGAGGCAGATTCAGTCTGAGAAAATCTCAGCAGACTCTGCAAAGTGTTCTGTCCTCCCCAGACTTCTTTCTCCTGTTTGGCTGTAAGCAACTGGAAGCCAGAAATGATGGTAGCTCACCCTCCCTTCCCCATTTCCTGTGTGCACAGCACCCTGCTCAGTAGACAGATACCTGACAGTGTCAGCCTGAACGGCTGCAACTGCAGGGCCACACTGGCTGTGCAGTGAGGCAGGGGAAGTAAGCAGTAAACTGAGGCTGGATGTCAGACAGGGACGGGGTGTCAGGTAGCAGCTGGAGGTGAGGATCAGCTCTGAGATGTGGATAATACTGGAGCCAGCCTCTCCACTTGGCTGCAGTTAGGGCGGGCTCTCGAGTGGAAACAAAGAGTGGATCCTTCAAAATTAAGAAGGAGGCCCTCCTCACAGTTAATAGTCAGGGGAGGAGGACAGTCTTCGGGCTCCTTGGTCTGGGGGCTGGCTGCTTCCTGGGGAGAGGCCAGGGGTGACCCGTCTGTGTTGCAGGTTTACAGCATCATCTCTGTCCAGCTGCTCATCACAGTGGCCATCATCGCCATCTTCACCTTTGTGTGAGTCTCTAAGCCTCTCCTTGGAGCTCTGGGGTCCTGGGCCTGCTTGGGTACCTGCCAGGATCTGGGGTGGGGGGCCCTTGACTCAGAGGGATGGAAGAAGGGCTGGATGTGGGCAATTTGAGGAAACAGCTGTGACTCCGGTCTTCTCTTGCTCCACAGGAAGCCAGTTGGCGAGTTTGTGAGAAGAAATGTGGCTGTCTATTACGTATCCTAGTGAGTCTATGTTCCTCTCTGCTCGGGACAAGGGGAGAGGGGGTGACAACTCTCTGGATTTCTCAGAGCAGGGATCCAAATACTGTTTGTGAGGGGCCCTTCACATTGCCACCTCTGTTGGAAGTGTGGGTGCATGCCACCCAGTGAGGAGCAGCAGCAGCACAGGCTCCTAAGAGCAGGGGTGGGGAACTGGTGGCAACATACATAAAGTAAAATGGTCCCCACAGTCCGTTAGCCTGTCTACTCCGACCTCCTTCACCCTCTTCCTGGCCAGACCCCCCATAACAGTGCCCTTGGCTGGGGTAATCTTGCCTTACTAGGTAGCTTCCCCCAGACTTCCAAACAGCTCTGTGGGCCTCCGACCTGCTGGCCTGGTGAGTGCTGTCAGGTGGGGCCAAGAGGGACCTAGTGCTGACCAGGCCTGTGGACTACTTCCTGTCTCTCTCTCCCCAGTGCTGTCTTCCTGGCCACCTACCTGACCCTTGCCTGCTGCCAGGGACCCAGGTGAGTCCCATAGACTTAGACAAAGAGAAGGGATGGCAGGGGGCAGGAGTGGGGCCAAATATTTTGGGCAGAAAGGGGACTCCTTATAGCAGCTGAATGAAGACTTACAAGCAGTAATGAGGATGATAGCAGCTACATGTGGGTGTGTACAGTACCTTGCCTGGTGCCCCAGCCTTTCTCTCCCCCCCCTCCCCCTCCCCCTCCCCCCCTCCCCAGGCACATTACCTGTGCCTCTCTCTCCTAAGCTCTAAGGCCCTTTTGCATCTATAACTACTAGTTTCCTGAGCCTATGCAGCCCAGCTGGCTCACTTCTACTACCTCTGTAACCTTCTAAATAAACTTTCTCTTACAGTTTGAAAAAACAACAAAGTACCTTGCCTGTGTGGGCTCTATTTAGCTATGTAGCCATTATTCTTACAGCAGCCCTGCAAGATATGTAACATTTTACCATTTAACAAATAGGAAGAATCCAAGGCTCAGAGAGGCTGAGTAACTTTCCCACAGTCACACAGATAGTGTAAAAGCTCAAATGAATCCAGGTCTTTGTGGCCCCACAGTCCATATCTGTCCTATTACCCTGTGTTGTCCCTGCATAGAACACCTGAGCAGGTACCAAAGGCTGAGCCAGCCTCTCCTCCCCCAGCCAAGGCCTAATTCTCCAGGCACCTGGGCCAAGACCTTCCTTCTGCTAAAGGACTCTGATACCTGGTTGGCCCGGAGTCACTTAACTACGGTTTCTTTCCCTTCAGACGCCGTTTCCCATGGAACATTATCCTGCTGACCCTCTTTGTAAGTCTAGAAGCGTGGAGGGGATGTGGAGATGGTGTGAGGGAGGGTTAGGGATGGGGATGCCATTGTGGAAGGTGTCTGGTTCTCTCCGCCACCTTATCCTTACGCCTGTCTCCTCAGTCACATTTACTCCCAGCCCTGACACTGCCATGGCCATGCCTCTCTTAAGTGTTTCACTCTTGTCTCTCTCCTTCCCTCAGACTCTTGCCCTGGGCTTCATGACCGGCACCATTTCCAGGTACATTCGGGGACAAACCACCATGCTCTGGGAAGTGTGTGTTATGGGGGAGCGGGCATCTCTGGGCTGGCAGTCCTGTGCATGGGGGAAGTGGTGGTTTTGAAGTCAGTCACATATGGCTTATGCCTCTAGCCTCTCCCTCTCCTTCCCCTCAGTATGTATCAAACCAAAGCTGTCATCATCGCAATGATCATCACTGCTGTGGTGACTATTTCAGTCACCATCTTCTGCTTCCAGACCAAGGTGAGGGTTTGGGGGGCCCCTCCCTGGCCTCCCCCCCCTTTCTTATACAGAGCTGGCCCTTAAGGCTTGGCGCTTGAGCAGGCCTGGGAGGGCCCAGACCCCCTAGACTGGGGATTCCCTTAGAGACCCTAATTCCTTCCCTTCAGAGCTACTCCACCTACAAAACTGCTCCCTATGTCAGTCCTTAGACTGTCACTCCCATGCCCCCCAGGAGGCAGCACTGGGACTCCTGGGAGGTGGGGGGAGGCAGGGCCAGTCTGGCTGGCCTGCTGGTGGTGACACTCGTCTGACAGAAACGTCATTCCTGGCAGGTGGACTTCACCTCGTGCACAGGCCTCTTCTGTGTCCTGGGAATTGTGATGATGGTGACTGGGATCGTCACTGCCATCGTGCTGTCCTTCAAATACGTGAGTGTCTCGGGAGAGCTGGGGTCAGCGAGCCCAGTGGTCAGGGGAGACTTTCTGTAGAACGAGCGAAGCAGGCCCACAGGCCCCTGGGCAGGAGTTGGCTCCCAGGACCCTCGACTGGCCAGCAGAGGCACCAATGCTGAGGCCCGTCCTTTGAGTTAGGGTTTAGTTATTTCTCTTCAGCAACAGGCGGCCCTGGGACCCATCACACCTGAGGCCTTGGACAGCATCACGGAATTCCCATGGGAAGTGGTGGATGAGATCTGGCAGCTGAGGCCAGGTTCTAGGAGGCGGTGGGAGAGGAGCCCCATGGCAGAGAGGGGAGCAGAGAGCTGGAAGGGGAAGCATGTGAACAGGAGGGCTGCTTGCCCTTCAGTGGACAGGCACCTGGAAGGCTGTTGAGCAGGGCTGCCTGGGGTACTCTCTGACTCCGATGTTCATCAAGGTGGTTGGGGCTTCCCTCCCAGCCCTCTTCTTTAGTCCGTCCCTTCCAGGATTGGCTGCAAGAAGCGTTCTCCTGAAGGTGGACTATGACTGGGAAAGGTGCTGGGGCTCTTTGATCAGTGCTTGCCTGAGCCTGCCCCTCCCAGAGCTGCAATTCAACCACCTTCTCTTTCCTAGAAATATATGGACACCTCTGTACCTTACTCACTTTGGAGATTGTTTTTTTTTTTTTTAATGTATTTTATTGATTTTTTACAGAGAGGAAGGGAGAGAGATAGAGAGTTAGAAACATCAATGAGAGAGAAACATCGACCAGCTGCCTCCTGCACATCTCCTATTGGGGATGTGCCCGCAACCCAGGTACATGCCCTTGACCGGAATCGAACCTGGGACCTTTCAGTCCGCAGGCCGACGCTCTACCCACTGAGCCAAACCGGTTTCGGCTGGAGATTGGTTTTTATATGGCCACTGGAGGATGGCTGTTTTCTCTGCCAAATCTGTTACCATTCTCAATTTCTCCCAGGATCTGGAAGGCAGAGGTAGTCCTTCCGTGTAGGTAGCTTCCTGGATCTATCCCCTTGGATGCCAGAATCCCAGGGAAGTTAGTCCTGAGAGCTCACCTTGGTCGTGCTTTGCTAAGATTTCTAACACCATCCCTGTTCCCTCTCCCCAGATTTACTGGCTCCATATGGTCTATGCTGGTCTGGGGGCCATTTGCTTTACCTTGGTGAGTAAGGCCCTGCCCCTCTGGGAAGGGGAGCTGAGGGGAGGGAAGGGAGGAACTGAGTGGATGGAGCATGAATTTAGGCTACTTGGGAGGCAGGGAATGTGGCCACAACTACCCTTCACTCTCTCCCCCGTCAAGAGGTTTCACTGATTTCTGGGCACCCCTGCCCTCTCGTGTCCACACTGCCTGTAGAAGAACACTCAGCAGGCGGACTGTGTCTCTCTCCTTTTCTAGACTGGGAACTGCTTCAGAGTAGAGGCCATGTGTTGTGCCATTCATTAATGTGTCCCCTAAGCACACTGCATGGCGCAGAGGCTCCGGGGACAGATCTGCTGACCAGAAACGAGTTCTGGCATTGTACTCGGGATCTCACTCTGCTTGTCCCTGCAGTTCCTGGCTTACGACACTCAGTTGGTCCTGGGGAACCGGAAGCACACCATCAGCCCAGAGGACTACATCACTGGTGCCCTGCAGATCTACACCGACATCATCTACATCTTCACCTTTGTGCTGCAGCTGGTGGGGAGTCGCGATTAAAGAGCACCCCCAGTTCCGCTCCACTTTGGGCTCTCCCAACTCTAGAGGGCTGGGTCCTGTGACCAGGGTCTGGGCCACAGACGCCTTTCCTTCCCCTAAAGTAATACGCCCAGTTTCCTTTCTGTCCTGGGTGAGTGGCCTCTGTGGCTGTGGCTGTGGCTGTGTGGGTACCACCTGGGGACTAACTCTTGCCCTTGATGGACTTGGCAGGGACTAGGCTGAAGATGTGCCTTCTCCCTCCACCCACTATGTGGCACCAAATTCTTCTTAACTGCTGGGGTCAGAGCGGGGAGGGATGAAAGAGCCTCTTCTAAAACTAAAAGGGAATATGGATGTAGACGTGACTCTTCAAGGTGATGAGGTTCCCCCTCCCACCTTTGCCACAGGCTTCTGGGCTAGGTAGCTGGAGCTGTTTCCTCCCTCAACCCCTAACAGAGCCAAAGAGGTTTGTCCCCAGCCTGCTGGACTCTTAGGCCATTATCCTGTACTCCTTTGGCAAACCCTGTGGCTCCCTGGCTCAGGGAGGTATAAGCGATCTGTGCTGTGGGTCCCCCTGCTTCGGCTCCTCTCTTGATGCATGTACATACTGTTTATCTGGGTTGGGGGTGGGGGAGGGAGAGGGAGAGACAGCAAGCAAACTCAAGCACAGGGGCCAACACAGAGCAGCGTCTACCCTGGGCTTCCTCGTGGCTGTGGTGGTGGCAGAGAGCAGGCCCGTTTGCAGCCATTGGGTCCCCATTCTCCAAAGCTGCCGGGGGACCTCCCTGGTGCTTCTGAGCTCTGTCAGAGGGATCTCTGGCTTTCCATGCTCAGGCAGAAAGTGAGGGCAATGGTCAGGAGATGGGGTGGTTTGTAGGATCATATGTGGCCAGGAAGTAACCAGGAAGAAGAGACTGGGTTGGGATGCCTTGGAGTACCCCACCCAGTCTGACAGATATTGTTCTTTCCTTCTGCTAACCTGGGGAGGGCCTGAGAGGAAGGAGACTTCCCCTCTGTTTTAACTCCTACTGAGGGACTTTAGACTCAGACCCCATCTCTCTAGCCAGCTCCTGCTTTCTTAGTGACACCAAGTGCCTCAAGCTGGAATGGAAAGGGGAACAAGGGTCACTCTAAGGTCACTATCAGGTGGGGTGGAAACCAAATCAGCTCAAGGGTATAAGTAGGACTTCTCTAAGTCCTTGGTCCTAAGTATATCACATAAAAAAACATAACTAGAAATGTAATAAAGTTTTACATTTAGAAGTTAAAACCCCATTTGGCTCTGGTTTTCTTCACTTTCGGTCTGGCCCTGCCCAAAGCATCCACTTCCAACCTTTGCATTCCGGCTTGCTATCTTCCACCTTTTCTAAGATAACCAAATACACTTTGCCCAGTACTTCCTGGTAATGGATGCAAAAGGCTGCTAGAAGCTCAACCTGCATTACTGGGTCTGGCAGGGACCACTCGGAAAACATGACCTTTCTTGCATCATGGACCCTTTACAAAAGCTCATGAGAGCTATGAACTCTCTTCCCCACAAAGCTGTATGTGTACACACAATTTCACAGTTGGGTTGGGGTGGGGGGTGGACTGCAGATTCAGGTTTAGGACCCCTGCCTTAAAAATCACTAGTTCAAAACCTCTTAAAGTAGCCCAGGTCCAGGGAGGTTGAGTCATTTGGACTCAGCTTTATTTCTTTCACACCCTCTGCTGGAAGCTGGTCCATCCTTGCTGCTTGACACAGTCGCTGCAGGGAAGAAACATCTGCACGGCATGTTTCAAGGGGCCTGGCGTATATGACATACTGTTCTTAATATGTTTGCTCCCTTTCTTGGCGCTATGTGTTTTAACCAAGGTCACCTCTCCGAGAAAGATTGTTTCCCCAGGTAGGGATTTTTCCCTGAAGTTAGGGAGGGAATAAAATCCCTTAACTAAGTGCCAGGCAGGTAGTTAATCACTTTAACTACAAACAATCACGCTTAAGCTACATAATCTTTACTTCCTGGAATGGAGATAAGAAACGCCCTAACGGGGGAAAAAAAAGAAAAAAAAAAGGACACTTATGTAATACCCTTTGTAATACTTTTAGCAAAAAAAAAAAAAAAAAAAGAAAGAAAGAAAGAAATGAATTGCTGTATTCAAAAGAACTGTCACAATAAATTTTCAATGCTCACAAAAAAAAAAAAAAAAGAAAGAAACGCCCTAACCTTTGGAATAGAAATTGATAGGATTAAAATCAACTGGTATAAATACAGATGTAATAAGACAATAACACACAGAACTTGGCTGGAGATCCTGGCTAGAGAACCCAACTATGCTGATCAACTAAATGCTGCCTCCGTGTCATTCCTTCTTCGCCGACTCCGTCCACACCTTTGGGAACCCCTGGACCTGCTGGGGCTGGACCCCAGCAACCCTCAATGCCCTCTTTGATTGTTTTTTATTTATTTATTTATTTGTTCAAAGCTGAGAAAGACCCCACCCTCCTGGCCAGAGCTCTGAGGACTTGGTCTCTAGGGCCCGCATCTAGACTTGTTGCTTAAGTCTCTGTGGTTTCCCCAACCATTAATCGGGGAACACTGAATGCTTCAATGAGAGCTCACAAGAGTAACCGTCCCCGCCCTCTGCCCCTCCCATCCCAAGGGACTCAAAAATCCAGTCCTGGTTCCTTTCCACTCACACACTCAATAGCTTTATTTGCCTTTGGCTGGTTTCTCAGGGAGGGGAGGGTGAGCAGAGGAGGGGATGGGGGGGTGGGGGGGGGATGAGGGCTGGCAGCAGCCTGGGCTTCATGCGCCCTCTGGTGGGCCTTAGAGGCAAGGGCTAGAATTGCAGCCAAACCCAAAGGATTTGGTGGTCTCGAGGCCAGTCAATACAGTCTAGGGGAGGGCTGCAGTGTTCCTCAGGTCTGCACCCCAGACCCAGCTTCAGGAGACTGGACATGTTGGGAGGAGGCCCTGAATCTCTGGCTCTCATACTCGCCCGTGTTGGATGCCCGCATGTTCTGCCGAGCCTTCATCTGCTTCAAACGATTCTTGTCCACTTCCCGCTTGGTGAGGATGAAGAGGAGGATACCACAGGGGAAGCCGATGGCCCTAGGGGTGGGGAGATGTGCACGGGGTGTGGGGAGGGGCCACGCCTGAGTTAGAGGGGCTGGGAGGAATCTCATTCCAGCTTCATTGATCTCATGAACACTGCAACACCTCTTGTATCTATTTAGCCTCCTCGTTGGCTGCTGGAGGGCCCTACACAAATCAGATCCTGCTGCTACTCTGCTTAAAGTCTCATAACAGCTCTCCATCACTTCCCTGCCAAGTCCAAACACCCAGGCATGGCACAAAAGGCCCAGTGTAGGTGGGTCTCTGCCCACCTCTACATTCCTTTCCCCTGTAGCCTGACACCTCTCAACATGATCCCTGCAAGCCTACTATACAGTCTATGCATGATTCCCCAGATGGCCCATCCTCTTTCCCTTTTCAATTCTTGGCAAAGTTTCTCTCTGCCTGAACTGCCCAACATCCTCTCCCAGAGTACCCTTCTTAATCTGAGTAACTGCTACTTGGTGTGGGGAGAAAGGGCATGGAGTCAAAACACCTGGTAAGAATCCCAGCTCTGAGCCTCAGTTCTCTCATCTGTGAAATGCGGATGTAATATTTATCAAAGACTAAAACCTTATACTGTGAAGTCCTGGAACACCTAAGGCGCTGAAAAAAAAAAAAAAAGTAATTTCCCACCCTGATGGGTGTGGCTCAAGTTTGTTGCGTGTCATCCCATGCACCGAAAGGTTGCTGGTTCAATTCCCCACACATTGATATTTCTCTCTCCCTCAAAACAATCCTTTTTGGGGGCCTTATATTTATTGACTTTAACTTATTTTTTTGGTTAATCCTCACCCAAGGATATTTTTCCATTGAATTTTAGGATAATGGAAGGGAGGGGGAGAGACAGACAGAAGCATCGATGTGAGAGAGATGTATCAATTGGTTGCCTCCCACACTGGGGCTGGGGTGCTGGGGATCGTCTGCGACCGAGGTATATGCCCTTGACCAGAATTGAACCGGGGACCCTTCAGTCTGGGGTCGACACTTTATGCATGGAGCCAAACCAGCTAGGGCTCAAAAAATCTTAAACATTTAAAAAAAAAATTCTGCTAAGATCCCTTGGAAAAAATTGGTAATTTACTCCTCCTTTTCCTTTAATATTGATCAATGATATGTATTTAGGTCAGAGTCAAATCTGAATAATAATGTGTGGAATACCTTCGAACTAAAACCCCAACTAGGTCTCACCCCAAGTCCCCCCAAAAAGATGAGGCCAGGGAACCAAATTCATATCAGATTAGCTCAGCTTTCTCCACAGAAAACTCACTCTCTCCCATTTCACATACTTTCCCCCCCTCCCCTGCCCCATGCCTCTGAGATTCCAGTCCTTGCAGCCAGCAATTCTGTCCCCACAGCCCCGGATTCAGCTTACCACCTGAAATGTGGAGAAGTTTCTGGGTTCCGCCCTCCCCCGGTGCCACTCCCTATCGGTGGGCAAAGAGTTAGTTAAAACTCACCAGGCTACTCCCACAGCTTTCATGGGGTTCTTGGCCTTCTTTCGGGGAATGTATTCCAGCTCGGGAGGGAGGGGCTCCGGCTCTTCCTTGCACTCCGGGGAACTGTGGCTCTGCAGCGCCCGGGTCCTGCTCTGGGCAGCTTTGTTAGCGGCGGCTCCTGAGAGAATCCCTGTCGGGCAGAGAATGTGAAGGTCAGGAGGAGGAGGAGGTGGACGCCTGGGAAGGAGAGGTTGCGATCTGAGGAAGAGCAGTGACTGCAGTACGGTGTCACAAGTGCCAGGGAGAATCCGCAGGGAAATGGGAACATCGCCACGGAGGGGACACCTTTGGGAAGCCACCTCCACGTCACTGTGGGCGCATCGCCCTGGTGCCGGGAGAGCGAGCTTCGCGGCTTGGGAGACGGGGCGGGAAGGACCGCAGTGGGACTCACAGGAGACGTAGGAAGGAACTCCGCGGGGATGTTTTCAAACCGCAGAAACGGTAGCACGGAAAGGGAGCTTAGAGGTGGTCTACTCCGTCCCCCCGGTTTCATAGAAGAGGAAACGGAAGCCCAGAGAGAGACGGACGACTTCGCCCAAGGTCACACGGCTAATTATCCGGGGCTAGAACCCGAGCCTCCAGCAGCTCAGGACTCGCCTCTGCACTGCGGTGAGTGTCCAACACCTGGAGCGCGGGAGCCTAAGAAGGCTTCCTTGGGACGCCCTCTCGCAGCGAGGACACGGAGGCGTGTGTAAGCCGACGGCAGAGGGGCGGACTGGGTGACCTCGAGAGACCACCTTACAGCCCCTCAACTCTTTCACCCCGCAGAGGGGTGCGAGCAGGAATCGACAGCCCTGACCTCCTGCTATAGCCGGACTGGATGTAAAAGGGAAAAAAAGGGAGGGGGATCCCCTGCAACCCTGCCCTCCCCGGGGTCCCTCTCCTTACCCCGGAGGACGCGGGCATTCCTCGCCCCCCGGCCCTTCAGCGCCGTAGCAGCCACCACCGCCGCCATGTTCAGATCCCACCCCCCTACACCGCGGTCCCCGCCGGGAATTGTAGTTTGCGTAAGGGGCCTCCCCCGCTCCTTCCGTCCCGCCTACAGACCAGAAACTACATCTCCCCAAAGCCCTCGGAGCGGACCGGCTGAACTACTCCTCCCAGGAGACCCAGAGGCGCGCACGCTCGCTTGTTTCCCTTCTGCCAGGGGCGGAGTCAGGTCGGGCGGAGTTTGGGTTCCCTCTGCCACGCCCCGTCCCTTTCCCAACCCTGCTCTCTGATTGGTGGTTAGGCTATCAGCCCTTTTTCTGATTGGCCAAACGGCTGTCGCTCTCCCTTTCCGGAGAGTTGCTTACGCCTATTTCCTCCCGGGGAGGAGGGGCCCGAGTTCCGCGTCGTCGCGCAGCGCTGACTCTGGGAGGCGTTTGGGCCCAGAGAAGTGGATCGGCTGCTTTCGCCGCATGGAATCCGAATCGGAAAGCGGGGCTGCCGCTGACACCCCCCCACTGGAGACCCTAAGCTTCCATGGTGATGAAGAGATTATCGAGGTGGTAGAACTGGATCCCGGTCCGCCGGACCCGGGTGAGAATGGCCGGTCCTCCGGCCGTGGGGCAGGAGGCGCCCACCCCTGGCCTATGACCCCAGCTTCCCCCCCTCCCCTCCACACCGTACCGGTCATTCCTACCGACTTTCTGCGCCCTTCCCCCTCCTCCCACCCCCACCCTTAGTGCTCGGGCCTGGCCGGGTGGGGGTTCCCCTGACGCCTCCTCCGGCCCTTCCCCTCGCACACCCCCTTCCCGTCATCCCCTCGGTCCTCCTCTCCAGTCCCTGGCCAACGCCAGGTACGCAGCCGTCTCCTGCCCTCGTCCCACACACCTTCTCGCCCTCGCTTCATCCCATTCGTCTGCCCTCACTCTCTTGCCACATGATGCACCCCAGCCCTCCCCACACTTTTCTCCATCCCTCTTCCCGCCTGCTGAGCCCCATTTTTTGACCCTCTGACCAATGCAGATGATCTAGCCCAGGAGATGGAAGATGTGGACTTTGAGGAAGAGGAGGAAGAGGAAGAGGGCAACGAGGAGGGCTGGGTTCTGGAACCCCAGGAAGGGGTGGTGGGCAGCATGGAGGGCCCAGACGACAGCGAGGTCACCTTTGCACTGCACTCAGGTAGGTCTCTGCGGAGATCCGTCCTACACTCAGGCGGGGCGGGCATCTGAGCATCGCATCCTGAGGGAACCGCTGGCCCTGGTCTGGAGGAACTCGCTGGTAGGGGGCAGTGTGGTGGCGTGGCGGGGAGCCTGGCCCCTGGAGTCAGCTGAGAAACCTGTGTTCAAATCTTACCTCGGCTCCTTACCAATTTACGACCTGTATTAATCTCCCTGGGTCTTAGTTTTCTTTTAAAACGTTTCTTTGGTGTAAGTTACACTGAGCATATTTTATGTAATCCTCAAATGTGAGCTCTTAATAAGGAGCCAGTAGCACGATGTTCTCCTCTCTCTGTTTGTACCCAGCCTGGTGGCATCCCATGCGGAGAGCTGTAAGCCCTGCACGTACACTTTCCTGTTGTCCATGGCATCCGTGTGGGGTGGTGAAGGGTGCAGCATCCTCAGGGGGAATCTGCTCTGGAGAAGGATTTGGAGCATGGCGAGCTTGGGAGGGGTTTCTCCAACCATCTGATGCTTGAAACTTAGAAGGAACTTGGATGCATCCTTCTTTTCCAGGAGGAAAGACGTGCTTCTCTGGGTGGAAGGGGGTGGGCTTCCTGCCGGTCCCGAAGGACAGAACCCTAGGTGGGAGCCCCATCCCCTTACTTGTGAAATATCTCTTGGGACAGCATCTGTGTTTTGTGTGAGCCTGGACCCCAAGACCAACGCACTGGCGGTGACGGGGGGTGAAGATGACAAAGCCTTCGTGTGGAGGCTCAGCGATGGGGAGCTGCTCTTTGAGTGTGCAGGTGAGGGGGCCCCGCTGAGGTCGTGTCCCTTTGGAAGTCTTCCGGGGCTAGCCTGCAGCAGTTGTGCATCTAACAGCCATTTATTGACTCTGAAGAGGAATAGCATAGTCTGTTGTGGATATAGGGGAGGGAGGCACTAATTGGGCAAGGGAGTCTGGGAAAGGCTTGAGAGGAGGAGACACAGGCTGACGTAGGGGTATTTGGGAAGAGGGAAGGGTGTGGGTATTCTAGGCAGAGGTGCAGAATGGACAAAAGGGTAAGACCTAGGCCTAGGCTACATGTGGTTGAGTGGAGGGCCAGCATTGTCTTCCGTGGGGAGACCTGGGTGTGTTGATTCCTGCAACTACAATGAATTTGGTCACCTATTCTGCTGGGATCCACTCTTGTTTTCTCTCAGCTGGTCCTTTCAGAGGCCAGATACCTGGGTCATGTGCCCCCAGCATTAGGTGCCCTGATGTTCTCTTTCTGGTTTTTTTTTTTTGAAGGCCATAAGGACTCTGTGACTTGTGCTGGTTTCAGCCATGACTCTACCCTAGTGGCCACAGGGGACATGAGTGGCCTCTTGAAAGTGTGGCAGGTGGACACCAAGGAGGAGGTCTGGTCCTTTGAAGCAGGAGACCTGGAGGTGATTAGAGTGGATTCAACTCAGGGGCCTTGGTTGGTAGTGGGTGAGAGCTAGGAGCTTCGCCTCCACCTTTACTAGACCAAGCCATCTCTAAGCCAGTGCACTCTCACGGTACAGCAAGAATATCTGTGCCTGTTACCTAGACTGTCCCCCCTGACTCAGAAGCAGGGGCAGCTTGGTGGGGCTCAGAAGACAGGTTCCTAGGTGGGATGGGGTGATGGGCCTCCCTGCTGACTCTCCCTCTCTGTCCAGTGGATGGAGTGGCACCCTCGGGCACCTATCCTACTGGCGGGCACTGCTGATGGCAACACCTGGATGTGGAAGGTCCCCAGTGGTGACTGCAAGACCTTCCAGGGTCCCAACTGCCCAGCCACCTGTGGCCGAGTCCTCCCTGATGGTGAGATAAGTTCCCCTGAGTGTCCTTTCTTGAGTGCAGAGAGGTTGGGCGCAAGGCTCAGAGTGCGGGCTCAGCAGCACTGACCTCATAGGCCCCGGAGCAGTCAGCTCCCTCTTTTCCACCCTGAACTGAGTCTCCTCTGCTGGGTCCTGGGTAGTGTTTGTTCCCTCACTTTCTTGTCTCCCTCTCTTGGCTCCCACCGATACCCCCAATTCCCTTGTTGGGTATGTCTGAATGTGTGGTCTGTCCTTCTCTCTTCATCTGTACTTTTGGCCCTTTAGGGAAGAGAGCTGTGGTCGGCTATGAAGATGGCACCATCAGGATTTGGGACCTGAAGCAGGGAAACCCTATCCATGTACTAAAAGGTATCAGAGTCGGGGGAAGTGTTACCCTCGGCCTTTGTGGGGGAGGGGTTAAGACCTGAGACAGGACTCAGGGGACAGGGTGAAGTCTAACATATCCCTTTGCTCCATCCTAGGGACTGAGGGTCACCAGGGCCCTCTGACCTGTGTTGCCACCAACCAGGATGGCAGCCTGATCCTAACTGGCTCTGTGGATTGCCAGGCCAAGTTGGTCAGTGCCACCACCGGCAAGGTGAGTGGGACCTGAAGCCTTGCTGTGGAGCCTTCCGCTCTTCTCCCCTCCCTTTCTTATCCTTCACTCAACCTCCCTGCCTCTCCACCTTCCTTCTCTATTAGAGGACCATGTTTCTAGGACCTTCTCTGATGCTTTCCTCTGGCTCATAGGTGGTGGGTGTTTTCAGGCCTGAGTCTGTGGCCTCCCAGCCCAACCTGGGAGAAGGGGAGGAGAGCGAGTCCAACTCAGTGGAATCCTTGGGCTTCTGCAGTGTGTGAGTGTGAGCTAAGGCTTAGGCCTGGAGGCCGCCTGGAGATGAGAGGGACTGCGCTTGGGGAGGGGCCTGGGCGGGGAGACCAGGAAGGAACGAAGGGCATGTGGGCCCAGGTCCCTCTGTGAGCTTTGTGGTGCTCCCCTCTACCCAGGATGCCTCTGGCAGCTGTTGGCTACCTGGATGGGACCTTGGCCATCTATGACCTGTCTACGCAGACCCTCAGGCACCAATGTCAGCACCAGGTACAGGCACCCGTGGGGAGGCCCAGGCCTCTGTCAGCATCCACCCCAGACCTGGCTCCTGCTTGGTCCTGTCTATGGTCCATGTTCCCACCCTCCCTCCCTGAGATGCCTCCTAGCTCTCCTCCTCTCACCTCCACCTTGCCTCTTGTACCCGTGCAGTCGGGCATCGTGCAGCTGCTGTGGGAGGCGGGCACCGCCGTGGTTTACACTTGTAGCCTGGATGGCATCGTGCGCCTCTGGGATGCTCGGACTGGCCGCCTGCTGACTGACTACCGGGGCCACACGGCTGAGATCTTGGACTTTGCCCTCAGCAAGTAAGTGAAATGGGCAAGGGCTGGAGTCTCTGTATTTGGAAGGTGGGGGTAGCATGTGGAGGGCCACAGGGACCTGGGGGTGTGGGGGGCTTCCTGAGGGAAGCTGGGACCCAAGGCCTGGTTGTGGCTTTGGAGGCAGGAGTACTGGGAAGCCTGAGAGAGTTGCCCTTCTGGTTGACAGTGACTTGCTGGATCTCATGTCAGTCCCGGGGCTGAGGGGCTGGGACTACTCCCCCCATGTTGTGGTTCCTCTCATTCCCTCGCTGACTGCTGGCTTCACATGTGTTCATTCGACACGTGTGTGTCAGCTTGGTGCTAGGCACCTAGGGCATAAAATTGATGTGCTCGAGAGGGCCACCGGGGGTGGGGCGGGGGTTCGGGGGGGCCCTGGGTCATGGGCTTGGGCCAGCCCCAAGGCTCCCATCCCTTCGAGCCTATTCTTTCTGTCCACAGAGATGCCTCCCTGGTGGTGACCACATCAGGAGACCACAAAGCAAAAGTATTTTGTGTCCAGAGACCTGACCGCTAGTGGCTGCAGCCTCTGCTTTGGGTCTGGTGTTGAGGTGAAGGGAGACCCCTCACCAGCAGAGGCAGGAGGGTATGAAGGAAGAGGATGGGAGGGGCCTCGGACTACTTTCCAACCCCTTCACACTGACTTGCCCCTCTGTCCCTTTCTTCTCATGAGACCCACCCCTCACCCCTCAGGCCCCTCCTCCTCCCCCAGACCTGGGGGATCTCTCAGAGGGAGGTTCCGACCTCTTTCTCTTTCACTTTCATTTGTGGGTGTGAGTTATGGGGTGCCTATTTGTATGTGGGGAGTAGGTGTTTGAGATGCCTGTTCTTTCCCTTCCCAAGTCTCTGGGGGTGGAAAGGAGGAAGAGAGAGATTAGTTACAGATTTTAAAAATGTAAATAAAATATACTTCCCAGAGACTATGTCTGTGGATTTTGTGGTGGCTGGACCTGAGGAAGAACTGGTGAGGGGCATATCAGGGCGAGGCCCCCACATGTGCTGGACTTCCAGCACTCAGCCCTCCCTCCCTGCCGGTGGTGCAGCCTCACCTACAATTGCTGCTCTATCCAGAGTTGGAATCTCCCTTGATTCCCTTATTTTAGGTTCTTTCCACAGCTGTTCTACCTGCCTCTCCCCTTTTGCGATATGGAATGAGATACCAATAAACTCGGCCAGAGGACCTTTATTCCACCAATAAAAAAGGGCAGGGTCTCTGATCCAGGGGTGTGCGGACAAGTGGAGACAGGCGTGGCTGAGATGGATGGATGCTTCTAGTAGGAGTAAGCAGAGGCCCTTCCCCTAGTTCAAGTCCAGGTCCGTGCTGCTTTGGCTGCTGGTGCGGTAGGCAGTGCCGGGGCCAGGACTGCTCCGGGAGGCTCTTCCCCGCAGCACCCGGCGCCATCTTCGGGCAGCTGCCCTCCAGGGAGCTGTGTAGCGCTGATCACTCAGCCCCATGGCCACAGGCACGGCCGCTGCACTGGCACTGCCCAGTGAAACAAGGGACAACAGAGTTCCAGGCCCCAGCGGTGGGCGCTGCTCATAGGCCAGCACCGAGAGGAGCAGGGTGGCCACGTAGGGTCCCCAGCACAGCCCAAAGAGCAGCGTGGCTCCAGCCTGTGCCCTTGCTTGCCTCCAGGTCAGGGCCCGGGCCAGGGCCGAGGGCACCCCGCGGCACACTGCCCGTTCCTGCCGGCGGATGTCCTGTAGCTGGCGATGGGCAGTGATCAACACACGGGCAGAGAGAAGGGCCGCAGCACCCACGGCAGGCAGCAGCAGCCCATAGACTTCGAGGTAGAGGTAGGGGGCTGGGAAGACAGCCTGGGAGCTGCAGTTGGCACTAGGGGCCCAGTGGTTCCACCCCAGAGCGGGCAGGCTGGTGAAGAGCAGCGGGCCAGCCCAGGTGAGGAGCAGGGCCAGCCGGGTGCTCCCAGGGGCCCGGAGAGGCCGCAGCACTGCCATGTAGCGCTCCCCGTGCACCAGCAGCAGGTTGGCAAGCAGGGAGAGGAAGGAGAAGTTGGGTGCTAAGTAGAGGAAGAGACAGGACCAGTAGCCTCGGCGGCTCTGGCTCCACAGGCCTGGCAGAGTGGGCAGTGCCAGCCCCGTGAGCAGCCCAGCGAGCAGCAGGCTCAGGAAGAAGCAGCCAGCAGGGAGGCTACGTAGGCGGCGGTCCCCGGCAATGCCCAAGGCCAGGAGCAGGTTGGCCACGACGATGAGGCTTGCCAGGACCAGGGAGAGCCCAAAGGCTCCCATGGGAACAGCACCGGGCACCTCCCTGGTGCTGTTGGGTGTCATCTTGGGTCTGGGGACAGGGAAAATCTGGAGCAACGGCCGACATGCCTGGACAGGAGATGGGGTGGCCAGAGTTAGGGTGGGGCTGCGGGTCACTGTCCTCTTGGGAATACTTATTAATCTAGAGGTTGCAGCCAAATGGACTAAGCTGTATACACATTTTTTTCAATTAATGGCCAATTAAAATTTCTATTTCTGGCTTCTCTTAAGAAATCAGTTGTGGCAATACCTATGTCCTGTGTGGTAGTGACCAGCTGGAGTGGGGACCTCACAACAGGCCACTTCACCCATTTCTGTTACCCGCTTGGCCCCCTTGGGCAGCTGTGCTTATGCCCATTTAAACTGAAAGAATGACCCATCCAGCCCCAAAGCATCTTGCCCACCCCCACCTCTACTGGCAAGGCCTCTAAATTAGCCAAAAGGGAAGACGGGGTGTGGCTGGTGTAGTGGTCAGCCAAAGCTGACAGCCTCCTCTGGGCGAGGGCCAGGTGCTAGAAGTGGTATTCAGGTAAAGGAGAGGGGTCCCTGTCTTCAGATGCTCGAAGTCTGGTGGGAAACCAGAGCATTAGGATTGGGGTGGGGGCAGGAGTGAGGCAGAGAGAGGGATCACTAAGCATCAGAATTAGTGGCGAGGTCAGGGCAATGGTGGCGGCAAGTGGGATGCCCTGTCCCTTGCACCACCATCCCCATCTGCCCTGTGGCCGGTTGGTTACAGATGAGTGAGCAGCCTCTGGATAGGACTTCCAGCCCATAAACTTGACTCATCTGCACCACTAGCAACAGGTCCCTTCCTGGGAATTGGAGGAGAGAGAGGAGTTGCTGGGGGTAGAAGTGAGTGGGTGGCGGGGCGGGGGGAGGTTGGAGGAGGATTGGCAGTGAATGTGGAGATGCCAGCAGCAAGGAGGACACCTCCCACACCCTGAGGCTGAAGCTGACCCCCAGGAAAGGGGAGAGGAGCTGCTGGACAGGGCTGGCCTCTCTGCAGCTCTGCTCTGTCCCTGTCCTTTCCTTCACTTGGCTCCTTGTTTTCAGCCCGCCAGCGCCCCGGCCCCACTGCTACATCAGGAAACAGGGAGGGGTCCTGGACCCTGTGGGAACGCCTGCTTCTGTCCACGGGAGCAGCTGCTGTTGCTAGGATTAAAGTCAATAAGGAAAGGATTCCTACTGCCCCCTCCCGACAGCCACCCTGACTCAGGAGAAGCTGAGGCCCCCACGCTGGGCCTCCAAGCTGCTGCACCCCTTCCCTTCCCCTGTTTTCTCTTCCTCAATCTTCCCTTTGACCCCAACTCAGGACATCTTTTCTTTTCAGCAGCCCTCCGGTTTCTGTTCCCCTTTGTCCCTGCATGTCAACTTGATTAAACCCCACAAGACCTCAGGGTACCTTACTTCCAACCTAGCCTCTGGATCCTGGGCTGGAGCTCCAGCCCTCCTGAGTCCCCTACCCTACCCCCACCAGAGCAGCAAGAAGGGAAGGGCCAGCCCCAGGAGCGACTTCCCAGTGGTGTGTGGGTAGTGTGACCCTGCTGGCTCTGGTGGCAATGGCTTCTTCAGGAGTGGGGCTGAGGTCTGGGGTGGGGAGGGGAGTAGCGACTCACATGGCAGTTGGAGACAGGTGCTCCTCAGCCTGGGCTGTCCTGTGTCAGGGAACTGCTGCAGCCGACCCTGCAGGGCCTCTGGAGATGTCTGATGTCCCGGCCGGGGAGAGCATGGTGCCTCCACTCTGGGATAGCAGGGCCCCAGGCTCGTGGCTGCTGCAGGCTCTGCTCCTGCCTGGGTTCTGGAAGGATGGAACTGTGGCCACGGGCTTAGCCTGGCCCCGCCTCTGAGGGTGGGACCTGGCACACCCCGGCTTTAGCAAGTGGGAGGCCTTCCTCCTCTCCTGCTGGACCCAAGCTTCCCCTTTCCAGCTACTGGCCATAGCTTCACTTAGGGGGCAGATCCTCTCTCAGGTCACTCAGTTTGGAGACCCCTCCCCTGATACTGCCTAGCTCAGCGGTTCTCAATCTGTGGGTCACGACCCCTTTGGCGGTCGAACGACCCTTTCACAGGGGTTGCCTAAGACCATCCTGCATATCAGATATTTACATTACGATTCATAACAGTAGCAACATTACAGTTATGAAGTAGCAACGAAAATAATTTTATGGTTGGGTCACAACATGAGGAACTGTATTTAAAGGGCCAGAAGGTTGAGAACCACTGGCCTAGCTGATCTGAGAAATGCATTCCCGTTAGTGAATGATTTCCTTCTACCCCTCCCCACTTTCTGCTCCAGCTAATACATTTACATTTTATGAGCTTTATACTGGAGTGGCCAGCCAGCTGACAGCATATTGAGCTCCGTAATCCTACCCGTCTGCCAAAGGGGAGTGTGTGTGTGTAATGGTGGCAGTAGGGGGTAGGGGTTGAGTATCTTCACTGCCCCCCATCTTATTGCCTGATGGACCTTTCAGATGATAAAGCCAGCCTTGCCTTCTAGAATCTGGAGTCATTCCGCATTTTCCTCAGCTACTTTGTGAGTCAAGTTGTGGGCTACAAGCTCAAATAGCTCTGGGGTGTGATATTGGGCAAGCTACCTCTGGGCTCCAATTTTCCCACCTGTAAAATGGGGAAGAAAGAAAGCTACTCTTAGGATTGTTGTGGAAAATGTTATGGGATAACATATGTAACTAATTAGATCCCAGTGCCTGACACTTAATGGGGGAAGCCATTCTCAGGGTTGTTGTGGAAAATGTTATGGGCCTGTACACGAAGCAACCAATGAATGTAGATATAAGTGGAACAACAAATCAATGTTTTTCTCTCTCTCTCCCTCCCTCGATGAATAAGAGGCACAAACCAGTGTTGGAATCAGAAAGCCTGGCTTTGGATCTCAGAATCCTGGCTGAGATCCTATTTTTTTAGCTGTATAAATTTGAGCAAGTAACTGAAGTTCTCTTGCCTTAGTTTCCTCATCTGCAAAATGGGGCTCACGTTGTACTCACCCATTGAGACTAAATGAAATATGTGATAAAAACTTAGATCAGTGCTTGGCATATAAACACTCAATGAAAGGTAGCAGTTAATAACATTATTAGGATTTCTGCCCTTCTCTGCATGTCCCTTCCCTCCAGCCAATCCTCCCCTCTAAGAACTCCCCTGAGAAAGGCAGATCGCCTATGAAAAGCAAGAGGCCAGTGGGGTTTTTGCTCCACAAGGAAACTAAGTACAGTCATGTGTCACTTAACGACAGGGATACATTCTGAGAAATGGGTTGTTAGCCGATCTTGTCGTTATGGAAATATCATAGAATTTACTTACACAAACCTATATGGTATAGCCTACTACTCACCTAGGGTTAGTACAGCCTATAGCTCTGTAGGGAAGGAAAAATAATTTTCCCTCTACCCTCTGGACTCTTGGCTGAGACATCCCTTTAATAAGAGACAGATTAACAAGAGAAAACAATTTGATAACATGCGTACTTGGGAGGTAGGAGTCACCCAGGGAAACTGACTCACCAAAATGCCTGAAGCCATCAGCTTAAATACCATCTTTAGCTTAAGACAAAGGATGTTGGGCAGTGGTTCTCAACCTTGGCTGCACATTAGAATCACCTGGGAATCTTTTTAAAATCCTGATTTCTGGGCCTCATCCTCTGGAAATTCTGTTTCTTTGTTACTAATGTTGTGGCCCCACCCAATAACAAAGAAACAGAATTTCCGGAGGATGAGGCCCAGAAATCAGGATTTTAAAAAGATTCCCAGTTGATTCTAATGTGCAGCCAAGGTTGAGAACCACTGATGTTGGGGGTGAGGGAAAGGGCAGTAAACAAGGGGTAAGGTTGTTATGCAAATTTCAGTCAAGGTCTTCTACACTGATAAGACTTTCTAGAGATAAGGTCCTTCCCCCTCTTCCTGGTACAGTGAGGAAGACACGCTTACAAATGGAGAGGTCCCTACAAGCACAAATATCTTTTACAAAGAGTAACTTCTACTTGGTTTTCAGAGCTTTCAAGTCAGAGGGTTTCTTAAAATTAACCAGCCTAAAATAATCCTTATGCTAAAGAGACATATTTGCGGGTGACAAATTCTGTTCCCTTACAGCTCCCAGGCTACAAACCAGAACAGCATGTCACTGTTCTGGATACTGTAGGCACTTGTAACACAATGGTATTTGTGTAATGCATTTTGCTACATCACTAAATGATAGGAATTTTACAACTGCATAATATATTTTTTAAATGTATTTTTATTGATTTCAGAGAGGAAGGAAGAGGGAGAGAGAGATAGAAACATCCATGATGAGAGAGAATCATGAATCGGCTGCCTCCTGCAAGTCCCCCATTGGGGATTGAGCCCACAACCCGGGCATGTGCCCTTTACTGAAATCGAACCTGGGACCTTTCAGTTCGCAGGCTGACGCTCTATCCACTGAGCCAAATCAACTAGGCTGCATAATCTTTTTTAAAAAATATTTTTTAGCCCTCGCGGGTTTGGCTCAGTGGATAGAGCCTTGGCCTGCGGACTGAAGGGTCCCTGGTTCGATTCCAGTCAAGGGCACATGCCTCAGTTTCAGGCTTTTGCATCTAAGAAGCATTCTACAAATGTGTGCACAATGAAGGAAACTGGTGTTGTTTTGGTTATATGTTATATTAGGCTTTTCAAGACTAAGCTAAATGCACCCAAAATATGTCCCAGATGGCAGTGCTCTACATGGGTGCCTTTTTTTCTGGCATTCTATGCCTTTCGGTCTGTTGTGCAGGAGGTAGCCGATCAGTGATTTGCTCTCATCATTGATGTTTCTATCTCTCCCTTTCTCTCTGAAATCAATAAAAAATATATATTTAAAAATATTTTAATTGATTTCAGAGAGGAAGGGAGAGATAGAAACATCAATGATGAGTGTCTGTCTTCTCATTGGCCCCCAATTGTGTGTGTTTGGGGGGGCAGTACTGAGGGGTTGTGCAGCAAGCTTTGGTTTATGGTTTGAATTCCTTGGTCAAGTAAATTAGGCAATGCCAGCGGCTGTGGGTTTGTCCTTGGAGAAAATGTGGGCCTTACAAGATGGAGAGGACATTCTGGAGGGCTTTGCTGGAGAAATAAAAGCTACCTTTTCTGTCTTCTCTGGAGCCCTTCATTCTCATAACTTTGTTCCTGTTGGTGTAATTAAACTCAGAAAGGTAAGATGTTGCATCCACCTGCTTAGAGCAGACCCAGGTCCTGGCCCTTTTCAAATTCATCCCACATTTAACTTAAGGATTTGGAACATGCAGTGATAGGTTACATAGTTCAGTTTTATATCCTATTGGATTAATTTTTTTTTTCATGTTTGAAAACAGTTATGATAGTCCTTTGGGGGAGAATCTAGTATTGGCAAAGTTAAATGTATTTTTAAAAAAATATATTTTATTGATTTTTTAGATCGGAAAGGAGCGAGGTAGAGAGAAACATCAATGATGAGGATCATTGATTAGCTGCCTCCTGCATGCCTCCCACTGGGGATCAAGCACGCAACCCAGGCATGTGCCCTTGGCTGGAATCGAACCCGGGACCCCTCAGTCCACAGGCCGACGCTCTATCCATTGAGCCAAACCAGCGAGGGCTAAATGTATTTTAAACGGAAAGTTTTTAGAATGTTGAAAAGTAATTGAAAAAAGTGATGAGTAAATGTCTAGGCCAAGATATTTCAATAAACCTTTCAGAAGCCTTAGAAAAAAAAGAAAAAGAAACATCAATGATGAAAGAGAATCATTGATTGGCTGCCTCCTGCGTGCCCCACACAGGGGATCGAGCCCGCAACCTGGGCAAGTGAACGCTGCGTCAGGCTACATCTGCATAATCTTATGGGACCACTGTCCCATATGCAGTCCTTCAAAGACCAACATGTCTTTTTTAAGAAAAGTATGTTTTTATTGATTTCAGAGAGAGAGGGAGAGGGAGAGATACCCTGACTAGGGATTGAACACCAGCAACCCTTCAGTGCATGCGGTGCATGGGATGACACTAAACCAACTGAGCCACACCAGCCAGGGTCAAATGTCGTTTAAGTAGTGCATGACTATAGTGAGAGGAAGGGCAAGTTCAGGGTTAGAATGCCCAGAGGTGCCCCCATTTCTACATCATATCCAGTGTGGCTTTGGGGTGAGGGAGAGAAGCCAGTTACACGCCCTGAAATGGAAGGGAACAGGCTAAAACTGCAGCAAGAAAGCTGGAGGTGAGACATTAGGAAACACTTCCTCGCCCAAGAGCACAGGTGGATGGACAAGGGGACTTTGGAGTTCTCTGGGGGAAACCAGGGTTGAAGGACTGGAGGCACAGCTGTCAGGGGTCCTAGAGAGGCAGGACTTATGTTGGGACAAAGTGGGTAGAGGAAAGCATCTAGCCTCAAACCCATCCTCAAGGAAGCCGGTGGGCGAGGGACACTGGGTTCCAACAGATGGTCCTCAGCCCCACGCTATCTGTTGGACAGAAGTCAGAGGCTCTGGGAGAGTTCATCCTGGAGTCTGGACAGAAGTGGGTGTGGGGCCCCTCGGATATTGGACTGCCAGGAATAAACAGACCTCCTTCTGTTCCCAGCTCTGGCCTCCTCCCTGAGGGATCCAGGATGTCTGTGTTTCTTCTTACTGCTCTGTCTAAACACTGTGTGTGGGATGACGTGTGAAGCGGGGACAGCTTAGGCGGTGGGAATTGGAAAGCCTGGGTTCTATCCCCTGCTCCCTCAGCCATTTCTTCCAGTTCCTCTCTGCTCCCCCACAATCCCTGGGACTGACTCATCTGCCATTTCTCCTTTACCCAAAGGAGCCCTAGTGCAGGCAGCTTGCAGATGCTCCATTGAGCTGACTCTGCAGGCTCTACCACCCAGCCCCACCCAGTTCTCCTTTCCTCAGGTAAAGTCTGCATCATGGTGCCCAATCCAGACTCTGGCAGGGAACGTTCTGGGCCTCCTTTGCCCATTCCATTCTCTTGGATATATGATTTTTGCTGATCCTCCTTGAGCCGCTGTTCAACCCTTCACTAGCTCTTGGGAGTCTCTGAAAGGTTCGGGGCATAATCGTGTGACTGAAATGGCCAGGATCCTGGTTTCAGGAAGCCCTAAGTCAGCTATATGGCAGAACCCCTGGCCCTGTTAAGGTTAAACAGCCAGATTCTCCACCTCTCCCCAGGAGCCAAAGGAAATTGCACTGCTTTTATCAATTTCCAAAGGGAAAAGTATTGCTTGAACTCAAATAGCACCCCCTCCCTCCAGTAGACCCAGGCTTGGGTCTTAGGCCTCTACAGAGCTTTTGTGATGAGTGCCTATCATTCCAACTTTGAATGACACCAAAGGGGACTGAAATGGCAACTGCTAAGTACCACCTCTGATGTAGCAGCTAGCACTACTTTCTTTTCCTGATTTCAACTTCCTGTCCTTTCATCCCACCCCTCCACTTTCTATCAGTCTTATTGCCTTTTCTGCCAAGCTCCTAGATCTTAAATATATTTTTATTGATTTCAGAGGGGGAGAGGGAGATAGAAACATCAGTGATGAGAATCCTTGATCAGCTGCCTCCTGCACGCCCCACACTGGGGATTGAGCCCGCAATCTGGGAATGTGCCCTCACCCAGAATCTGTGACCTCCTGATTTATATATAGGTCAACACTCAACCACTGGGCCACACTAGTTCTTAGCATACACAGGTCCCACTTTACCCAGGCACAGAGGGTCCCACCAACACCCTCATCTCCCATTGCACCCAAGCAGAGAAAAATACCACTTCTCTTGGGAAGGACCTTGGCTTATGTTGGACTTTGCTTCCTTAGCAGTCCTGCCACTTCTGATCCCCTTGAGTGAATAAGAATGGAACTTAAGATTTATTAGATGGCATTATCAAGGATAATTATAGGCACTGTAATTGCCTATGTGATATCCAGTTATCTGCAAAAGCTGACCCTCATCATCTTGAGGCCTCCTTCCTCCCACAGTCCACAGGAACTTGGCTGAAGTTAGTGGGCCTTCGTCCACAAAGGGAAGGTCTTTCTACACTAATACCAAGTGTGTCTTGACACAGGTGAAGAAAAAGGAGCAAGTCTGGAGAGTCTTCACCCGAATGGACTTTTATAGGATATTGCCTTGGGATCTACTGCTGTAAAAAATATGTAATGCCTTGTTTTTTCCCCTCTGTATTTTCTAAGCAATCTTGGCTTTATCATCTATAGATTGTATAGGTTTCAGATTCTCAGAAATCTGATCTCTACTATTGGCTAAGAGTACAAGTGAATTCCAACTTATTACAGAGCTGTGCTCTAAACCGAGCAGGAAAGCAAAAACTGCTCCTAGTCGAAATTACCCTTGAAAACTCCTACTAGCTATTAACGGGTGCTATTTGAGTTCAAGCAATACTTTTCCCTTTGGAAATTGATAAAAGCACTGCAGTTGGCTCCTGGGGAGACGTGGAGAATCTGGCTGGTTAACCCTAACAGGACCAGGGGTACAGAATACATACATACATGTCACCATCACCCAATATATCTAATTTAGCCAGGTTTTCCAGCTTACAGGAGTAGGTGACAAGGGGCTATATCCCAGGAAAATGCTGCGCAGATTTCATGTGGTGTACTCTTCCCACTGGAGGCCACAGGGTCAGCACAAGCCAGGGGATAGCACTCTCCAGGGGACATGTTTGTTGGGACCAGC